AAAAAAAAAAAAAAAAAAAAAAAATTATTTGCCATGATTAAGTGGGATTTATTCCTGGGATGCAGGAGTGGTTCAATTTTTGTAAATCAATTAATGTGATACATCACATCAAGAAAAAGTATAAAAAGTATGTGACCATTGCAACAGATGCAGAAAAAGAGTTTACTGAAGTTATACCATCCATTCATGATAAAGACCCACAACAAAGTAGGTTTAGAAGGAACATACCTCAACATAATCAAGGCCATATATGAAAAATCTATAGCTAACTTCATAGTCAATGGGGAAAAACAGAGCTTTCCCCCTAAGGTCAGGAAGAAGACAAAAATGTCTACTCTCACCACTTTTATTCAACATAGTATTGGAAGTTTCAACCACAGCAGTCAGACAGATATGGAAATAAAAGGTATGGAAATTGCTAAGGAAGAGATAAAACTTTCACCATTTGCAGATGACATGATACCATATATAAAAAAACTAAAGAGTCCACCAAAAAGGTACTGCTAAATAAATTCAGTAGGATTGCAGAATACAAAATCAATCTATGGAAATCCACTGCATTTCTATACACTAAGTAGCAGAAAGAGAAATTAAGAAAATATTCCCATTTAGAATTCTACCAAAAATGATAAAATATCTTGGAATAAACTTAACCAGAGAAGTGAAAGTCCTGTACTCTATAAACTGTAAAACAATGATGAAAGAAATTGAAGATGACACAAACAAATGGAAAGATATTCCATGTTCACGGATTACAAGAACAAGTTTCGTTAAAATGTCCGTACTACCCAAAGCAATCTACTGGATTTAATGCAATCCCTATTAAAATGCCAGCAGCATTTTTCATAGAACTAGGACAAATAATCTTTTTTAAAAGTTTATTTATATTTTGAGAGAGAGAGAGAGAGTGAGTTGGGGAGGGACAGAGCAAGAGAGTGAGAGAATCCTAAGCAGGCTCCACACTGTCAGCACAGCCCAATGCAGGGCTCGAACTCATGAACCATGAGATCATGACCTGAGAGCCAAAATCAAGAGTTGGATGCTTAACCAACTGAACCACCCAGCCACCCCACGACCAAGTTAGAAAAAGAGAATGATGCAAGAGAAGGAAAAGAGAAGAGATTTATAAAAAAAGATCTGAGTCTCAGAGATAATACCTGGCATTTTTATCTTCTGTGAATTACTTCAAATAGTCTTCAGGATAAGCTGTTCTTTTACAGTCATGTAAACTGTAGTTTGTAGGATTATGATGTCAGATACACTATTTTTTTTAAATGTTTATTTATATTTGAGAGAGGGAGAAAGAGCATGAGTGAGGGAGGGGCAGAGAGAGAGAAAGAGAATCTGAAGCAGGCTCCAGGTTCTGAGCTGACACAGGGCACAAACTCCTGGACCATGAGATCATGACCTGAGCTGAAGTAGGAAGCTTAACTGACTGAGCCACCCAGGTGCCCGCAGATACACCAATTAAAGTAAGAAAGAGCTTGAACACTAATCATGGGTCAGTCTGTGTGTGCTTCTACCTTTGGCTATGATATTGTTCAGTTAAACTTCCCTGAAGTTGGGGCGCCTGGGTGGCTTAGTCGGTTAAGCGTCCGACTTCGGCTCAGGTCATGATCTCGTGGTCCGTGAGTTCGAGCCCCGCGTCGGGCTCTGTGCTGACCGCTCAGAGCCTGGAGCCTGTTTCAGATTCTGTGTCTCCCTCTCTCTCTGCCCCTCCCCCGTTCATGCTCTCTCTCTCTCTCAAAAATAAATAAACGTTAAAAAAAAATTAAAAAAAAAAAAACTTCCCTGAAGTTTACATAAACATTGAAGCATTGTTAAGCCTGAGAAATTACTGGCAGCTCTAATTCATATCTAATCAGACTTTCTATTGGTGCTTGGTAAATGTTTAGCACACAAAGTCTATTCCCTTTCTCCTTTGTCCAAATCCCAACTTTATGTGAAGAACTTTTTAATAGGAAGGGGAACAGTAGCCTGTTGCCACTGTCTTCATTCTCTACCCCATTATATTTTGAGGGGATTCGTAGTGGTAGAGGATTGAAAAGTACATCTCACTTGATATATATTGTCAGTATTAACCAGAATTCCCTTTCCCTCCAGCTCCTATAACTGTGTTCATGAAACTTCAGGGAAATAAAAAGTAGTTCCTCTTAAGTAACTGGTTAAATATGTTTAAAGATGTTTGAATGTATTTGGAAACAGAAAATTATCTTCCATTTAGTATGATCCAGAGCTGTCATCTCGACAATTTGGGGTTGAATTGTCCCGTTTGACCAGCGAAGAACGAACTGTTCCTTTAGTGGTGGAAAAGCTCATAAACTACATTGAAATGCATGGACTGTACACAGAAGGTATTTACCGAAAGTCTGGTTCAACTAATAAAATCAAGGAGCTCCGACAGGGTCTAGATACAGGTAAGATAGTGCTCTCCAAATCAAGACCACATGCTTTTATTTAAATAGGTCATTTTACACTCAAAGTTTTCATTACATGTTGCCTTTTTTTCTCGTAGCCAAAAGAATGCAATCTTTTCTGTGGTGCTTATTCATTTTGTGGCTTTCTAAAGAATCTTTGTTTTTATGTGGTCAGTTCAGCAAACACATATTGAGTGTTTCATTTCTACAAGGCATTATTAGGTACTTCAGACAGATCTCATTTAATCTTAACAATTTGGTATGGTCATGATATCTGTAATTTACAAAGAAGAAAATAATTTAAAGAAAATTACATAATGATCTGTTGATGATGATGTAGAGCAGTGTGCCAATGTTTTTATTCTAATCTTCACAACAGTCCTGTGATTTAGGGATTATTATCCTACTTAAAGAAACTGAGGCTTACAGAGGATCTTACCCAAAGACTCACCACCAATAAGTGATCAAGCTGGGATTTAACCCCAGATGTTCTGAATTCATAATCTAAACTATCGCCTATTAGTCTGTTATTTTGACTCCCAAGTGTGCTGTTTCTGATGCATGTTCTCACCTTCCTATATTGATGACATAATTATTTAGTGGATTAAACATGTACCTGTGTAGAACTGTAGCCTCAGCCCCGGAATATATCAGGAATTTGACTTTGGTTTCATTGTCAACTTCTACTTTTTATCACTATTGGGAAGGAATAGATCATTTTGAATCAAACATAGGTACAAAGCTTGTCTCTGTGTCTCCAGGAACCTATCTACATGCTTTTTCTTTCTAGTTGTTTTGTTTTGTTGTTGTTGTTGTTGTTGTTTTAATGGGCAAATCAGGGAGAAATTAGTATGGAAATAACAGAAAATGTTTGGTAAAACTCAAGCAGGAACTTCTGCCTACCAGAGACTTCATCTATTCCAGTTTAAAGGCAGTTTCCAACTTGTGTCTTGCACCTTGGGTCAGCACAAATGAAAAATCATTCATCCTATATCCTCCCAATCATTTCCTTTGTATAACCTTTGGGAGTTTATAAGTGAAACAGAGTAAAGATATGTCCTTTACATTTCCTAAGTTCAGTTATTGCTGTCCTTTCATCTTTAAAAATGACTTAACATTAGCCTTATTTTTAGAAAATGTCTTCTGGGCCTTTTCCCCATGTGTCATCCACAGCATTGCTAATGAAAGTGTGGCTCACAGACCAATCTACAAGATAAGTACAAAAACTGAGTGTAAGCATTTAGAAATACTTATAACAGTATTTAACAGAGCTTTGACATGAAAGCATATGATCTTTTATTTTACTTATTTAGCAGTCTACAACAGATTTGGAAAACAAACAAAAAGCTGTTCCTTTACCACTGTTAGAAGTGCTTTTCTAGAGCAAACAATTAGATTGTAGAAGGTATTAGTTCAATTAAGAACATGAAGGCTTCCTTGGTGATGATAGTTTCTAAAGTGAATTATTTTAATTTCTTTGCATGTTTTGGCTTTGTTATCTAACTCTTGTCTATAAACAGATGCTGAGAATGTAAACCTGGATGACTATAACATACATGTCATTGCAAGTGTATTCAAACAATGGCTTCGTGATTTGCCCAATCCACTCATGACCTTTGAGCTCTATGAGGAATTTCTTCGAGCTATGGGTAAGCACAGGCTTCCTGGATTCCACGGAAGGGCTATACTTGGGAAAGGAATGCTATCTTCATTATAGATTTATTTAGTCATCCTCTAGTGGTTTAGTCCATATAGGTCCAAAACTAAGCTTTTGACAGTCAATACAGAACTGCCACTGTATTCTCACCTATTCATTTGTTGATTTTTGAGAGCTTCATTAAAATGTCAGGATCCCAAACGTTTTCTGAGTAAGTCAGCTAGTTGCTTCTCACAAAGAGATTGAAAGACTAAGATTACAAATTATAAACACATTAGAAAACTAAATAGATTTAAGGGCCAGCTTATATTCATTTAAATTGTGAATCTAGGCAAGATCTCTGCTATCTATTTTATGCCAGGCCTACTAGATGATGGAGTTTAGTTTTTCAGCACTACAGGTATGTAGGGTGTTGCTGAAGGCCTGCCTAGACGTGTTTAGGCCCTGAGGCATTACTCCTCAAATTCCTATAAGACCAATTTATAAATTACATGGCAATTAATTAATTTTAATGGGGGAATCCACCTGCCACAAAATGCCTAATAAACTAGGCCGTCTCTTTCCCCTTGCTGTAATAAGGATGACTGGGATATAGATTAAAACCAGGAGACTGCTTAGTGAATATAGAATTCAAGCAAAGGAAGATTAGTAGTAACTGTGAGTTGCTCGTTTTCTGTCATACAGGTACAACTGTCTCTCCTAAAACTTTAAAATTTAGAGCCAGGCTGCCCTGCTTCTATCTGTTCAGGAGGAAGATACAGCATATAAGAGGGCGTATTCAATTTTATTTGCTGTCCTTAATCTTTCTAGGCCTTCAGGAGAGGAAAGAAACAATCCGTGGTGTATACTCTGTGATTGACCAGCTCTCTCGAACTCATCTCAATACACTGGAACGCCTCATCTTTCATCTAGTCAGGTAATTTCAAGGAGCAAGGAAAGATATGATAGTTTTGGGTTTTTTTTTTTTTTTTGATTCTTTTAAATGAGGGAAGAACTCCTTCATTTGGAAAACTGACAGATCTTTTTTTTCCTATTTATAAAGTCAGCGACTCAAACAGGGGCTTACAGTTCCTTGGAGCAGAAAGCCTCAGCTGAGTTGGACTGCATGACAGGTGCTTCTCTGCCCTGTTTGAGCCATGTAACAACTTCAGCCTCATGGTGGCACTATGTAGCCTAGCCTGTTATCTCATTCCTGAACTAGGAAGTAGACATAACCTAATTCAAAGGAGGTGGGTTCAAATGGTGCTTGAGAATTGACTGACCAGAGACTTCAGGAGTGGTCTCTCTTCTCTGAGTATAAGTATCTGCAGTAGTTGGGTAGAAAGTTATGTTTATTTTTATTAGATAAATATCTGGTAAATACTAGATAAATGTTAGATGAATATCTAATATGACTATCTGAAAATGCCTTAAAGTCTCTGCTGTGCATTCTTCAGACACGTTTATCAGGTGTATGGCAGTGGGTCAGAAATTTCCCTTGATAAGCTATCTGCTAGCCTATATTGCTTCAAGTAAGGGACAGAGTGAAAGTGCATTAAAAAAAAAAAAAAAAAAAAAAAAAAAAAAGTGTATTTTCCAGAGGCAAAGGAATAGCTTTGGGAAAAGTCTACAAGTATCTTCTTTCAACTGATATGTATATCCTTCCAGTACTATGTGCTTGATGTCATACGTCATCTTTTTCTCATATCCTCTGCCTGTGTCCTTACTATTTACCCTTTTTTTCTGAACTTCACTTGGTTTTTTTATTCCTTAGGATTGCTCTACAGGAAGAAACTAATCGAATGTCTGCTAATGCTTTAGCCATTGTGTTCGCACCCTGCATTCTCCGCTGCCCTGATACCATTGACCCACTACAAAGTGTGCAGGACATCAGTAAGACTACCACGTAAGGCCTGTTGTTAACACCTCCACAAGACCCCAGAAACTTCTGAGTCAGTGTAGCCACTTTATCCAGATATCGAACATAGTGAATGATTTCTTAAGTTCAGATGTTTTTAAGAAGATTGTTAGACACCATTGGGTTTTCTTACGCTGAAGATGAAAATTTTTTTTTTAGATTCTATTCAACTGAACACCATTTGTTTTGAAGGATGTTTTTAAATTTAGCTTTTCTTTAGCAATGCTTGTAATCTCTAAAAATATTTTAGAATTTCATTTTACCAAATTATGTATACTTTGTATCTTCCCGTAATTAGTCTAACTGGCTCCGAATCCCTTTGGCCTTAGTACTTCAGTATTTCTGCATTTTACTTTAACCTTTTGTGGTGGGCCTCTTGTTTCCTTCTAGATTGATGGTTCTTAACCTTGACTGCAAAAAGAGCTTTAAAAAAAATCCTGGTGTTTTTGTCCCATCCTAGAGAGTCTAATTTAATTGGTCTGGGGTATGGCCTGGGCTTTGCAACATACAGTCACTCCTCGGGTGGGTACTGAAGTACAGCCAAAGTTGTGGACCACCATTATATAAACCTTGTCATAGAGCTCATAAAGTAAGGAATGTTGATTTTTCTTTCATTCTCCAACCATCTGCCACATTTAGCTGAAAAGCAGTCTGTGGATACTACACTTTATTTGACTTACTTCAGCTCCTAACAGTTTCCTCTTTTTCCTCCTGTTTCAGCTGTGTGGAGCTGATTGTTGTGGAACAAATGAATAAATACAAGGCTCGTCTCAAAGACATCAGTAGCCTGGAATTTGCTGAGAATAAGGCAAAGACCAGGCTGTCTCTGATTCGTAGATCAATGGTAAGATACAAGATGTGGAATCACAGGGGAAAATGGGAGCATTCCTGGGGCTTTAAGTGTGCATTTATGGTGTAAAGAGAGATTATTCTCCAAATCTTTTTCACATGGAATGAGTAAAAAGAAACCACTTTAACTCAGGGTAATACAGATGCCTCATGTTTGATATTTTAGCCCTCTTTAGTAATATGTACAGAATATATATAGTTAAATGTGTAGAAGTTTTTAAGTCAAGTATTTGGGTAAAATGCTGGTGGTTTAATAATCTGTCCTGTTTTCTTTTCCTGTCCTTTCTGTGAAAATTTAACCTATCCTAATTTTTTTCTCTACTTCGTTCCACCATCTGTTCCCACCCTCAACCATGTCACCTTTGATGTTCCTGTTAATACTTGTGTGATGTAGAGAACTTAATCATTTGCAAGAATGTGATTCATAAGGAAATGGAATTCCATCTATGAGTCTACTATTCTCAAATAAAGATTTCTTTAAGGATTTATTATTAGGTTTTGAGAAAAGCCTGGCAAAAATTTAATTTGTTTTCTCCATTTGCCTACTTTTCTGTTTAATATCTTCCTTTGTAACCAGTGACCTATAGATAGACAACTTCAGTTCTCACTGACCAGTAATCAGTAGGATCTGGGTAACTGGGATATTACTGCTGCATTAAAGTCCTATCATTTGCTACCATTCCCCTCAGCTGCAAAACAGAATTGTAGCAATGAAGACCCAGTCAGATTCCCAGTAAATCTCTAAAGGGAAGCAGGCTTCCCTGTTATCATGCCCGTGCTTTTCCAGGAGCCCAGCAATACTTCATCTATATCTTCATGATTTATACTTAGATTAACATTAAAATAACTCTGTTTCTTTCTTTAGTGCTTAAACTGCCTGGCACAGAATAAGTCCTAACAAATATGTCTGTTGATTTAAATTAGTGAAGGGTCTTCTCTAAAAATAAGTACAAACATAGACCTTTTCCAGGCAGTCAAGTTACTAAAGAAAGTTAATTGTAGGACACTATCTAAATCTTTTCCCTAGAAAATGAAAACAGAAACACTATTAAAAAGTGAAACCCTTTCTGGTAGTCTGAATTTTCAGGAGCTCAGTTCTAGGATGCCCAATTTAGCAGTTCCCATCTAAGAAGGATGGGGAGAGACCTTTTACTCTAAAACTGCTTTTCAAAGCAGCTAGACAAGCTGTGCTTTTTTTCCCCTGATGCTGCAGAAGACAGATATATTCAGTCCATTGAAAGATTAAACCTTCTCTTTTAATGGGGCAATGACATGTACATTCTAACCTTCTGCTTTCCTTTTCATGTCCTTCCTAATCCAGAAACCTGTACTAATTGCAGTTAGATTTATGAGCATTACCCGCAATTCAGTCTCGGTATGTATTAATATTGCAATGTGTCATAGCCACTTTACATTATTGTCTACCATCCATCCAGAGTTGTTCTGCTCTGTCTATCATCCATGCCTGTCCACTTTCCATGTACAGCCCCAGTTCAGGTCCCACTTCCTGACCAGCCTTCACTTGTTTTTCTCTTACTCTTTTTCTTTAGAACCTTCCCTTTTCTTCCTTTGTATCATGCAGCTGAACAGTGTCCATTTATAATATACTGGTTTTGCTCTTTGTCAGATAAGCCTCTTTGTAGATTTCTTCTTTGGTTGGATCATTAAAAGGTAACATTGAAAGAGGCTTTGAGGTATCAAATTAATTTCTGAAGAACTTTGTTCTCATTGGTCCCCTTCACTTCATTACTTGAAATACCTATTACTACTACTAGCATCCTCCGTCATTAGTAATGCTTATTTGTCCATTCATATCTGTGACTTTAATGGTGACTTCCCAGATATAGAATAATAGCTCTCATCTGCTTAGCATTTTTCAGACAGAGCAGCAAGCAAATGGTAGTGAAAAAATTGACAGACTGGTTTTAGACTTCATAGTATAAATATCATAGTATAATAGAGCTCATACCAGGATTTCATTTATTATACAAAAAAAGGAAAGGAGAGATGGAAAGCTAAGAACACCAGTATATGTGGAAACTAACTTTAGAGGCTATCCATCTGTGGTTAACTAGTTCATTAAGGATCTCAATTTGCTGGGATATAAACACCGATCAGTTTTGCTTTTTACTTAGTAACTGCCTGCCAACTCTACCATGTCTGACTCCCCTTTCTGATTGGATGTCAACTGCCTTCACAGTGTCTTGTCACTATTCTGCAATTTTTAAACACTCTTGTCTCATGGCAGTATTTAAGAATCAGTTTTCTCCATATTATAACTTGAGTCACAGACTTGATTCAGTTACTCTTTTCATTTTCTCTCAGGCAAACTAGACCTTAATCTGGGGCTGAAAACTTTTGGGGTGGGTAAGTAGGTTCCTTTTATTACACATGTCGGCCGTCCCTTTTTCTTGTGGTTTTTCTTTCTCTAGTGTTGAAACTGAGAGGAGTGATACCGGGGGCAAAATCCTACATGATATCCCACCGTTGAGGTGGCAGTCCTCTTTCTTGGTGGTTCAGCACTGCTGTTCTAGCTCATTGTCAATAGCCTAAATGTAGGTGAGTGGGAACTTCCATTTATCCTGCTAACAGATCAGTCCTATCCCATGTTTACAGGCATTGGCAATCCCTTGGAAGATTTGGTTACATCTTTGGACTAAACCTACTAATGGCATTCACACCATGGGACTCTGTATGTCTTTTTTTGCCTCAGGACTTTACAATCAAATCTACCTCCCAGTACCAGTTCTAGGGCCTACAGGCACATTAGGGGAAAGGTTACATTTTTCATACCTCTTGGAACCAGGTTCCAGGAACCAGGCCATTATCTTTCCTGTCTTACTATCTCTCACTTCCCCCACCATACTCTCTCCTTATTTCTCTTTTCCCTTATGTATATAACAGAGGGGTAAATCAGTAAGTCTTTTGCCTATACAAATAACCAAATAGGGAATGAAATACCAGTCTGACTTTCTTTTAGATGACGATGATTCTTTCCCTCTGGATTTAAATATGACAACTTCTTTTTTCTCCAAAGAGGAAAGGAATGTCCTATTTTCAGAAACTCTGTGTTCCCCTTAAGGTCTAGTAATCCTCTTTTCTTTTCAGCCATTTTAGATTTACATTGAGGGAAGGTGTTAGGATATTGATGGTAGGAGCTGTCTCAATAAATTGGTATCTTTCAGTTAAACCCTTAGAGAAGAGTCTGGTACCAACTATGGTTGGCTTCTTAAGCTAGTAGATGGAATACTTCATTATCCTCAGCTTTGGGCCTTAGCCACAATTTTGAAACAGGAAGAAAAATGCAATGTACTATTGCATTTGCATTTAGCTGTAGTAAAGGCTGTATATAGGCCCAGTTCTTAAGAGTATGACTGTGTCGAGGGCATATTTGGTATTTAGTAAGTATCCATGGAATTGAATCTAAGAATTAAATCTAGGGGAGATAGCAGTGAGTTTTTAGGATAACCACTACAAATAGACTAATCAAACTCAATAGTGTTCATTATTCATAGATGAAAAAAATTACTATTCCATAATTAAATATAGTAGTGACTTTTCTGAAATGAAGAGTGAAATATATTTATGAAACGTATGTTGTATTATTGCCAATGTGAACAGTCATTTTGAGTTGGGTGTTGAAAGATGAATAATAATTTAACAAATGGAGAAAATGAGGGGAAAAGAGAATTCGAGAAGGAAAGAAGCATGAAGCAACAATCTGTGAATAATAACTACCTTGTATAGCTAGAGCTGGGGCAGGTGGTGTGGAAGTGGCAGAATAATTTGGAAAGTAGATTGGAACCAGATGTGCAACATTAAGAATTTTTAATTTCTGGGGTGCCTGGGTGGCTCAGTTGGCTAAGCGTCCAACCTCGGCTCAGGTCATGATCTCACGGTTTGTGGGTTTGAGGCCCGCATCAGGCTCTGTGCCAACAGCTCAGAGCCTGGAGCCTACTTTGGATTCTGTCTGCCTCTCTCTTTGTCACTCCCCTGCTCGTGCTCTGTCTCTCTCTCTCTCAAAAATAAATAAACATTAAAAAACAATTTTTTTTAAATTTCTTGGGCGCCTGGGTGGCTCAGTTGGTTAAGCATCTGACTCTTGATTTTGGTTCAGGTCATGACCTCATGGTTCATGAGTTCAAACCCTACATTGGGCTCTGTGCTGACAGTGCAGAGCCTGCTCAGGATTCTCACTCCCTCTCTCTGCCCCTCTCACACTCTCTCCCCCTCTCAAAATAAATAAATAAACTTAAAAAAAATGAATTTTGAATTTCCTGCTTTGAAGCATTTGGGAGCTATGGAAAGGTTTTTAAATGAGGGAGTGTCACCATCAGTGTGTCTTTTAGAAGATAACTGGTAGCATTCTAAAGAAGAATAGATTAGAGATAGGCAAGACTAGCAGTCATGTATCAGAAAGCTCTTGACTCATAAATCACTGAAATAGGTTGAATGCCGATCATTTCATTTTGAAATGATGTGGAAAATCTCTTTCTGCTACCATGCAGAAAGAAGGTCATTAGGTTTATGGAGCATAATCTTTGGCTAGGACACTCCCAGACTAGGATTTCAGAATATGATATGCTTCTAGTCTCATCCAACTATTCCTTTGCTATAAGAAGTGGTTTATTTACTTGTATTTATGGCATAATTCCAAACATAAATATTGACTTAGCACTATTTATGTTAATATAATATGAAGAATACAATTTGAAATAAATTTTACTAATCTGTAAAACTTTCACAAATCATCATCTTGAAAGATGTTACACACAAAAGTTTCCATAACCAAACAAAGTTGGGGATATAATGGATAACACTTCCAAAACTTTGACCATGGAATTCTTTTCTTCATAACGTATCTAGCTGAACAAGCATTCTAAGAAGGGCATTTTAAAAAAATGAACATTCTAATTTTTAAAATAGTATCAGTTGCTACTTTATTTACTTAGTTTGAAATTTATAAATTGCTCTAAGTCTTTTCAAAGATTTTAC